TGGAGTTTGAGACCAGCCTGGGCTACAAAGTGAGCTCAAGGCCAGCCTGAACTGCATAGTGAGACCCTGTGTCAAAAAGACAAAAAAAAAAAAAAAATCCAAATCTGTAAACCCCTCTATTTCACTGCTACCCAAAGCAGATCCTTCTCCATCCATCTCAACTGTAAACCAGATTTTTAAAAATCTTTCTTCTGTTTAAAAACCTCTGACTTAAAAAAAAAAAAACAAAAAAAAACAAAAAAACAACCTCTGACTTACATTGCACGACAAATAAAGTATAAAGAAAGTAATGGAATTCGCTTTTCGTTCAAGTCTGATAACTTTTACCATTTGGATGATCACACAAAGGATCCTACTTTACAGGGAACCACCAAAATGAATTGTCTTGTTCTATCTACTTCATTTTTTAGGCCTTCTTTTCTCTTTCTAGGTTTTTTTTTTTTTTTTTTGCATCAATTCAAACTTTTTAATGCAGAATGCTGGCAGTACCAGTATTGTATCACATCAATTGCCAGAATGTAACTTTCAATGCAAGAAATTATAACAAGGTTTCAAAAGAGAAACTGAGAGGTAAGTAAAGTTCCCACAAGAACACTCCTTCCATTCTCCATGAAGTCATGGCAAGGGAAGGAAGTAAGGTGCTAAATACACAGGGCAGATCTATCCATTCAGTAGAGGCGTCCCAAATTTGCACAGATCATCAGAATACCATCAGTTAGAAAGTAAGCACTGATATGGATATCTAGCCAAATTGAATTGGTGAACTAACTCCAAGTTATTCAAGAAAGTAAGCTTATACTTTCAGATTATATTCAGTCAGTAAATATTTATTGAGTGTCTGTTTTACTCTGGGTCCTTTTTGAGATTTGGAAAGCAGCAATAAAAAAAGATAGACTGAGTCCAGGCCCTCCCTAGTTAGTTTCTAAAGTGAATCAAGTAATGAAGGAGACAACTCAGGGTAAGAGGATGTAAAGGGACAGGGAGAGAGGTTTATGGGGATGGGATTATTTTAAATGGGATTGTCAGAGATTGGGAAGACACATTTATCAGAGCCTTAGACAATGAAAAGGCTCTGGCCACGGGATATCCAGGGAAGACCAAGCACAGGAAGGCACAGGAACAAAGATCCCAAGGTAGAAACAGGTGGGCAACTTGGAATTGATGGGTGACCAGACACACGGACAACCAGACAATGGACAGGAAGGGGAAATTAAAGCAGGAGAGAGAACAAAACAAAAGTGACAAAGATGATACAGTCAAACAGCATGAGACAGAGGAGATACATAGACACCGTAATAGTAAACCCATGCCACGTGAGAAACACAGACTTCTTACCTACACATGCAGAAATATTTTTCTACAAAAGTAAGATTATCTCCCTGAAATCCTTTCCTGTTCTATATTCACTTGGCCTCAAATTCCAAGACATAGGCAAATGAATGTTTTCCTTAACTGCCTTTTTAGTATTTTAATTCAATCAAATGCCAGCTAATACACAGGAGAAAGTTCTCTTTGTAAATGAGGACACAGTTGTGTCTCTTCTGTGGGAAAAAGAAAGACATATCCTAGCAATAAAATTCAAGATTTCACTGTCATGCTGAATAATAACTTTCCTCTTTCTGTGTTCTGCCACACCTGAAGTACTAAGGCCATCCAGGCGCCACCACACGGGACAAGCTAGGATGGTGCTGGAGAATTAAAGGGAAATGTTCTCCATTTTCAGTTAGTTTGTGATGCAAGGGCCATATTATTTCAAGATATTTTAATTCTTTTAGTATTCTCCTTCCCACTTTGGCGTGTTCCATTCTTATTAATCTCAATTCTATGCCTCCACTTCACTCAGGTTAAGCATGATCCATTCGTAGACAGACAGGCTTACTTGGTTAGGGTCTGCCAGCCCACGTACATCAAACCATTTCTATCAATTCAAGGGACCTCTAAAGCTGAAAGGCAATCACAGACAAGTATTTTCTAGTTAAGGCAAGAGTAATGGTACGATGGAGACAGAACAATGCTATTCAAAGGCTTTAAGGGACTCGTTTCCCAGTGTCGCTTTTGCTGTAATGCACGATTGCCCCAAATAATACAGAGATCCAAAGTGCCAAGAGGGAGGAATGAAACTGAAGCGTAATATACAAACCGTACAGACAGTAACATGCACCTGCCACTTTCCCTGTGCAGTGAAATACTCCACTGAAATAGTTGTTTTAAACACTTACAAAGACAGTTTTATTTTTCCTGTTATAAAGACTAAGTCTATAAAATGAGGATGCCTTAAATGGTGCAATTTTCTGGGATTTCTTTTAAATAGCAAAACACTACCCAGGCAGAGTTAAAGAGTCTGATCCCATAGACAGTTAAAGCACAGCTCAATTGAGCACATATCTAGATTGCACACAAACATCTGCCTTAACCATACACGCGTTCTCACCTTCCCATACTGCACCGGTTAACAATCCCTCCTAGTTCTGCTCCCGCACTTCTGATCAAGTCCATGTCCTCTGCTCCCATCCACACTGTTTTAATGAAGACTTTCATCTTCTCCCGCACAAACTATATCAAAGCTTCTCCCTGGTTTAGCGTGCTCTCCGCTCATCTTACCATTCACAATGTAACTATCTTCCTCAAACACAGTTGGATCTTACTATTTCTTTGCTTAAAAACCTTAAGTAACTCCCTATTGGCTAGAAATCAAGAGTCTACAATACATGAAACCTTCAGAATATGGCCCTAACATGCGTTTCCAGCTTCTTCTCCTGTAGTTATCCCGTTTACCCTGCACGCTGGCCATAGAAAATGTTTTCTTCAACCGAGCCACTGTTTGTTATATATTATTATGCCTTCTGCGTGCTCCTCCCTTGGACTTTAGGGTCCAAGTCCTTCACTGCCTCAAAATCTCCTGTTAATTCTTCATGACCATACTCAAAATCATCTCCTTTGTGAAGATTCCCTGCTCCCCAATACACAATTAAGTAAGAGCAACTTGCTTACCTCTGATAGTTCCTGCAACACTGCACTCTTATGACAAATAGTAATATGTTGCCAAATAGAAACATGTACATCGTGTCTGTAATTTTAAATTTTCAAGTAGTCTCATTAAAAGGTAAAAAAAAAATTAGTGGATTTTAATAATAGATTTCATTTAACCAGTAAATCCAACATAGTATCATTTCCACATACCATCAATATGAAAATTAATGATACAATTTTTCACATGGATTTCTTGAATGTATATTTGATGCTCCCAGAATATTATAAATTTAGATACTAAGCTGTCATAAAAAAATAATGTATTTTTAGATTTCATGAAATGTACACTTGAAAAAAATGGCTTCGCGTACCTAGGTTGTTCTAAATGTAATTGAGAGTTTTCCAATAACAGAATCAAGCATCAATTTTTTATTTCAGGTTGAAATAAAAACTAAATAGCATGAGTAGCTCAATTCCTCAGGCGTGCTGGCTGTATTTCAAGTGATCTGTTGGATTAGAATATAGCTGATAGTTATTGAATTGGACAGGGCAGCTCGACTGTAATTATCCGTGTATTCACCTCTCTTCCCCACTAAATTAGACTAATTTACTTGTATCTTTTCCATTGCCTCATATGAATGAGGCCTAAGACATAAATGGTGTTTTATGAAAGTCCAATGCAAATCACTTGTCTCCACCTTAACATGAAATTGAGCGTGTTCTTTTGTAAAGAATATATAAATGGTATTTTTAGGAATACATGGACATACTTATACACAATTCACACACACACACAAGCAAGCTATAATGCCTGCAACACTGGTCACAAAACAATGACCAAGATACGGGAACAGCCTTCATACTCAATGACTAATAAGAAAGATGGACTATACATAAAATAGAATATTATTCAGCCTTAAAAAGGAAATTCTGCCATCTTCAATAACAGGAGTAAACTGGAAGGTGTTATACAAAATGAAATAAACTAATAACAGAAAAAATTACATGTACACATATATGGGGGTCCATGATAGCCACACTCATAAAAGCCAAGAGCAATATGGTTGTTTCTGGGGGCTGGGAAAGAGGAGAAAATGCAGAGTTACTATTCAGTGGATGTAAAGTTTAAGTTATACCTCAATAAATTCTAGCGATCTGCTGTACACCATCAAGCATACAGTTCCTAATACTATTACATACTTAAAAATTTAAGAGGTGGATCTCACGTGAAGTGGTCTCACCATGGAGAGGAAAAGGGAAGAGAAAAATGAACACAGTTCCTGGGTGCTTGGCTGACGGGTGACAGGAACAAATTTCACTTGCGTCTTCAGTTCTGCAGTGCACCTAAAAGTGATCTAACATTTAAAGTCTGTTGGAAAGAGCAAAGAAAATTAACCAAGAAGGATCAAATGATTTGAATTGCTACTGACTCATTCAATAATAAAAACTGCATCAAAGCCACTGTTCTGGGCCTTCACCCATCTTTCCTGTCCCCCTTTATACGTCTGTGGATAGTCTACATAAACAGTACATCCTAATGTGCTTTACTTTCTAGCTGTCTTGTTTTTACCATCTGTATTTTAAACTCCCAGAGACACAGCATTCCTTGTACTTTATCCCTATCATCACAATAGTTTAAGGGTAATAACAAACTTCAAGAATTATATGTATGACATATAAACTCTCGGATGTCTTTTTTTTCATCAAAGCTGTTTCCAACCAATCCCAGCACCTCATCTCTCAACACTCTCATTGATTCTGCTACCCCTACAGCGCCAGGGACAGTGACCGACTCGCACAAGCTTTTTTTACTCTATGTGTACATTGTATATTTTATATGCATAATCACCCTTCATGCCCAAGAAGATGGGATCGTGTTTCAACTCTTATTAACCAATCACAGGATAACAGAAGAAAACTCAGGAAGGAAAGAAAAGGGAGGCCATTGCTTCAGCCATGTTAATTGCTCCATTTTCTTAATGATAAGTAACTGATCAATGAATGTACTTGTATTAATTTCCATGAAAAAATACGGTTGGTTCATCTTTTATTTGAATGTCGTTTAAATACAAACAAAATAAAAATAAACACACAGATGCTTGAGCAAGTCAGTTGTGGGGTTCATCTGCATCGGTGTTGGTGTTGTTTCTCTCCTGTTTCAGCAGCAGCTTCATGGTCTCTATCTCTGCAGAAGTGAACTTGGGGGTTAGGGTCACATTGTCATAATCAAAGTCTTCATCAAGCGAAAAGGGCTGAACCTCATCTCCTAGTACCTACGAAAGGTAACAGTGGAGGAAAAAAATTACAAAATCATTGTAAATGAAGCTAAGGTTGAAAATATAAACTCCTTATTAATACTTAATCAAACCATTTTTTAGATTTCAACACTTAGTTGGTGAAGCTGTTTTTTAATTAAAGAAAAAATTCAATTATGCAATTAGACCTAATTTAAACCTCTTAATATGCCCACCCCATTTGTACCATGCTGTATCTGTGTGAATATCATTAACTAATTCTGCCTAAGGCAAGAATCAGAAAATCTCTTGTGTACACATTCACTACATTTTTCAATTGTAGTGTCAGGACTAAAGGCACATGGAAAAATTACGAGTGACACTGAAATGTGAGAAAATATATCTTAAGATTTTTATCAACCTTAAATACATTATCCCATTTACTAATAAAGACCTGTGCTAATAAAGCATAATTTTCAAAAATAAAAATAACCCCCACTTACTATACTTCTTCAGCTAATACCCATCACTCCATGGCCAATAATGGTAAGAATTAAAATGTCCAGGAATGCTTTCTATCAAGAATCTTTTAATATACTGCAACTTAAATACAAGTCAGAATAGCTGTAAAGAGATATGACAGTTTTTCTCTATTTATTCAAAATTTGTGAGTTTTCAAGACTTCCTAAAGGATAGACAAAAAGCAAATTTTCCAATAAACAAAAGAGAATGCATTAAATCTCACTGTAACACTTCCTAAAAAGCCCCTCCAAAAGCAAATGGGATATGACCTAATGAAACCATCCACGGTACCTCTACCCAGATCTATAATACATAGAGCGATACTGAAATGATTGAAAACTACGGCTTATGCAAGAATGAAAAATAGTGCCCTAAAACAATAATCAGTTTTAAATATTCTTGCATAGAGGATGAGCTCCCTGACAGGCTTTTGAAATATTTGTAAAAATGAAGCATATCACTTGGAAACTATATGCTGTTACGAAAGGTGAAAAATAAATTATAAAAAAGTAGAACTCTCCTAGTTGTTGAACAAGTCGAGTCTTGCAGTTAGGTGTGCCGTGCTAATAGCAAACACCCAAGCTTTTATCAACCTTCTTAGTAAAACCAGCAAGAGACAAATTGCAGAGAGAAAGCAGCTTCCTCTTTGTTAGGAAAAGCCTGTGCACATGAGGGTGGGGAGTAAGGAGAAGAGCTGCAGGTGACAGGGTCCCCACTCTTTGCCATTCCCACTACCAGGAACCTGGAGGGCATTAGCAGTAATCTTCAAACAGTGACTAAACCCTCTTAACACCTTTCTCCTCCTATAAGACTCTGAGAAGCTAAGAACTTAGCCATGACTGCACAATTAGTAAGGAAAAGAAGAAGCAGCATGTGAATCCAGGGCAATCTAACTTCAGATAAAGCTACCCCTATTCAAAAAACACCAGCAAAATTCAATCTAGTCACAGTTCTGTGGGAGAAAAGACCATTTACTTATTAAAATGAGCAGTTCTACAGCCTCGCATAGAAAATGTCCTCAAGGCCACATGTAATGCCATGACCATTGACCTTCAGAGTTGAGTGACCAATCTGTCCATTTTCATCACTTTTTGAGATTCAATTTTGCAAAATGACAAAGGGGAACTATTGCTAAGATAAACTTCAGTGACAAAACATACACACAAGGACACTAGATATTCATTTCTTGAACATGAGCACCTGGACCACCTCCAGCTCTGCTCAGCAGTAAGTACCAAGAGAATTTTGTTTACGTGGCCATCTCCCACCCTGAGCCAATTCTAACTGATCCTGACAAGATATGCAGAAGATCTCATCTCAACCAGAGTGTTCAGTCTGATGAGATTTTGCTGCACATCTATTCATGATCTAAATTAAGACTGGTCAGCACACACCTCTTGGGCTTTAGGGTATTCCACCAGTCAGGTCTGACCCAGGTAAGACCCTGTCAGCAAAAGAATCCTTATCAACAAACAATAGGGAATCCACAAATGGGCCATGGTGTCCTAGGTACACAGAGCAGAAGTTCATAAAGATGTGACCAGGTCAGGCTGTGCAATCTCTCCCACCACCAAAGAGTCCGACAGTACCTATGCACCTGCACCTGCTGTTGTGAATGTTCTGTAAACCTCGACCACAGGCATCACATCCCCCAGTTTCCTTCAGAAAACAGCTGCCTCCCTAAGCCCTATAAAATTCTGCCTCCCCTCTGGCCAGGGGCTGACATCTTCCATGATCTCAGCCCATAGGGAAGAAATAAAACTAGACTCGTTGCTTTAGACTAAAGCATGTCCGGTGATCTCTCATGCGCTGTTTATCACACATCCCATGTGTATTCATGACATTAGGACTCAGACCCCACCCTGCAGCCTCTAAAATCAGCCATTCTCACTACATGTGGCCACTCTGCCTTCAACAATCCTCCCAGTGAGGCAAGAAAGTGAGCCAAATCCTCTTGCTAAGCTCCCAGCAATGCCATATTGTGCCCTCCCCCCAATCAACACAAACAATGCTATTGTTTTCTTTCTTGTCTACTCTTAAAACATGTATGAATGACTAGACACTGGCAAAATGAATACAGCAAAGCCTGTGTCCATGGCTTTCGTAACTTCAATATGAAGATACAAGCAATGAACTATTTCAATATCATTTCCTATACTCTCCAGTAAAGGAACTGGAAAAAGAGAAATGGAAACATAGAAAAGTACAGAGGCTTATTTTACCCTCCACTGGGTATTGCCCCTCTTTAAAAAAAAGTCCTACCAGTCCCTATACATCACCCCACTTACTATCTAGCTTGTCTCAGCAGCCCAGAGCAGGTAAGGATGGCATTTTGGGCTCCTACATATTCTGATAAGGACACATGGCCAGGTTATTCTCCCAGATGCTGCCCACCCAACCCATGGGTGGGAACTGTGAGGTTCCCATATGCTGCGTGGTCCTAATGTCCTACACTGTGGTATTACAGATACAGAAATTTGTTCTTAAATGGAAAAATCGTATGTTTCAGTTTTTTCAATACACTTAAATTCTCTATTATGGTACACAATTGTCTTCAATCACCATGTAGTGATCAAAACCACAGCAAAGAAAAAGGTTTTCAGAATGTTAATAAATATACTTAAACAAGGATTATTCATTTATAATAAACTTAAAGGTATAAAAATAAGTATGTAAATTTCTTCACTTAGAAACTAAGAGTTATTAAATACAGCAGCTGCAGCTAGGTTATTTTCCAAGGCAATCAGTTAAATGCTAACGTAGAAAAGCAAGAAACTGAAAATCTTAATGATCTCATTTGTCAAAGGAATAGTTCCCTGCAATCATTCAAATATTTTCTTTCTTTTTTTCACAAGAAAGATCTGTGCCTTCTATTAAATTCTAGGAATAGAATAAAGAACTAGAAAGCCAAGGATGAATAGCTGCAAGCAATCACAGACAAATGACATAAACAAGCAAATCATTATGGTACAATGTGGTAAGTACAAATGGTTTAGTGAAGGGGTTATCGGAACAAGGAAGGGCTTTGCAACCCAGGCCAGACACAGGGTTCCAGCAAAGAACCCGAGAAGGCTGAAGGGGAGACAGCTAAACAGGATCTTAAGAGGTGTACTAGTTAACAAAAGTGAGAGAACAGCTTAGCAGATAGTGAGAGTTTCACATGAGTCGGTCATGGAAATAAGATGCAGAATTTCAAATGGGTGAGTCTGAAAGGAGCTCAGGATTGACACAGTATAAACAGGAGCCACAGATGAAGATGATGTCAAACCATCCTAGAGAGGATAAAAGCATCTGAGAGTTTTTTGCAAGCAAAGCAAACACTTGGTCATCTGTATGCATTTCGGGTACATTCCTTCATTTATTCAAATTTGTACTGAGCACCTACCATAAACCATGTTGGAGTACAGAAGAGAAAGATACACTTGACCTGTTGGAGATTACTTATAAACTGTATAGCTCAGGTTAAAGATTAATCTGGTGGTAGATTTGAGGGGGATAAGGCAACAATCAGAAAACTAGTCAGGATGCTGCTGAAGCTGTCCAGGCAAGAGACAATGAGAACAGGGCAAAAATTTGAAAAATATTTAGAAAGTAAAATCAGCAGCACGGACTGGGTCTAAAAACAGCAGAGGAGCAGTCAGGTGGGAAAAAAGGCAGGCAAAGATGAGCTTAGTTTTTAATGGGTTGAGTTTGAAAGTACTTGAAAGAATCCAAAAGACAACTGAATATACAAACCTGAAACTCAGAAAACAATCCGAAATTAGATACAGAGGCACACGCACAGAAAGCAGTAATTTTAAAGACAAAAATGCACCCAAGTATTGGGGCAGGAAGAAGCACGGGGCGGATGGTCATGGAACACTGGGGAAAACCAACTCATCAGGGATGAATAGGGTCGGAAACCCCAAGGATGCAGAGAAGAGCTGTCAGAAAAGGACAAAAAGAATCGGAGAAGACTAACACAAGTGTGAAGCGAGAGTGTACCCGGACATCGGTGGTTTCAGGGCAGAGATCCACTAACATGCAAACTGAAAAGTATCCATACTGGGACACTCTAAAGTAACTAGGGCCTTTGTTCTAAACATACCCGGGCAGGACACTGTGCCAAAAGACATTTTGCAATATACTGAAAGACGAATAGAGGGAAAGATAGAATCAACTAATAGAATCAAATGGCTTCCAAAGTTGGGGTGAATAAAAGAAAAAAAAAAGAAGGTGGGGGCAAAAGAAAAATAACAGGAGATAACAAAGCACAAGTCCAAGGTGAAGGGAAGGTGGTTTTCCTTGTTTTGTTCCCTTGTGTTAAGGATGAGAGGCCTGAACACGTTTACATGTTAAGGGGAATGAACCAAGAGAGAAGAAAGAATGACAAACCATGTTATTATATCAGAAAATCATTCCCAGTAAGTGGTGAGAGCTTCTGTGTATTTTTTCATCCAATAAATATTTATTGCATATCTACTGGATATAGGTGCCAAAGCCAGCACTTGTTCTGATGTTTTACATTTGAATTAAGTAAGCTTATGAAGACTTGCATGAGCGACTTTAGACTCTTCCAAGACAAGAGACGCATACGAAATTCAAAGTGAGACTGGGTGCGCACTGCAGTTCAGAAAGCATCACCGTGACCTTCCAAATGACAGCTTTAAAACACAGCAAGGCGCATTTCAGCTGCCGGCTGTGGTGGCAAACTTCGTGAATCTTCTCTTTCAAGTTAGGTTCATTTCTGGGTTCAAAGCTGTTAACACTCCAAGGTTTCAGACTACAAACCGAAATTCTGATTTATGTCAGAGAAGAATTTGTGCAACAGAACAGCAAATCCCCTGCTACTAACCAGCAAAACAACTGTGAATTAAGTTATTAACTTGTTTTTTGCCTAAGGAGCTGAGAGAAATATGTGGATTTCAGGTATCTAATTTCAAGTCTAATTGAAATCTTTTTGTGGGCTCTCAGGGAACAGAATTTGTACGCTATTAGAAAACATCAAGTTTCCTTAAAATGGTTCATGTGACTTATTCTAACAAAGACACTGTTAAAGGAAGAATCATTTTCATTCATAGTACCACATAGGCAAATTAAAGAAAACAGAACTAATGCTCAAGTCAATAATGGCAGTATTTAGCTGCCAGCTAGCATACAAAGTGGCATAGTAAATAAACTGTCTTTACAGGTGGAAATTTTTAGAGGTCCATTATGAACTGGAAAAACAGAAGATCTATTAAAATACATCTCAAAATTCAAATAAGACCTCTTCTATGTTTTGGTAGGAGCAGGGGACAATTTTTCAACTTCCTGACATGAACTCTTTTATAGAACATACTAATGTGTGCTCTGTAAAAGTGTTTAAAATTTCTCCCCAAAAATAGAGCAAACAAGGCAAGATTTTATTTGCAAGTAGTAAATAGAGGGTTCTTAGAAAATGTTTAACAGTAAGGGGAAAATGTACACACATAAAACCAGTAATAAAATTAGGGGAAAACCAAATAGGTCCAATCCATATTAGAAAAGTGATGGGTTCTTAATAGGCAATTAAGAGGAAGTCAAGGAAACTTTGTCCATTAACTGACATCACTTTATAACAATGTCTACAATTATCAGAGAATACATATATATTTTTTTTCTATAATTGTATTGGTGCTATATACCTTGTATGGTCAAAAATGATGTTAAGAACATAACTCTTAAAATGAAAATAATTTCTAGAAATGATCTTTCAAGTTTATCATTCTAGAAATGATCTTGCAAGTTTAGCTTCTAATTGTCTTGACCCATTGTCTTCTCCAATTCATGAGTTTAATAAAAGCCTGCAGGCACCCCAAATATACTTTTTGTGATGCCAGTGAACAAAAGACCCATAAGGAAATTAGCGATTTAATATTGAAATGTGTAGATTATTTCTGATATTCTATAACAGAATATCTTCAAGATAGCATCTGAATGATTAATCAAGAAAGACTCTAGAGATTTTATTAGAAAGCAATATTAGAGTCCTTTACAACATCTACTGTCTGATTGCATTGACGTTTTAGAATTAAGAGAGTGGAAAGGTCACTTCCCAGCACCACGAGCAGCCAATATGTTTGTTAAATACACAAAGAGGGGCTGCAAAATGACAGCAAAAGATGACTTTTGTGTATCTGGTAAAGTTGTGCTGAAGATTCCATTCTCTCTTGCTTTTGAAGCCCATAGTTAGGTGACATTTTCAAGCCCACCTTGTGCCTAAATGGTTACCAGTAAATCGTGAACAGCAATAAAATATCCTCAACCTTGTGGTCACATGCTTCCCCATGCTTCCATGCCATGACCTTTAAGGTACAAGGGTGACCTGACTTGGAACACACATATGAAGACAGCGTCCCAAGGGTTAGTGGACATTCAGAGACAGGGCACCTCTGGTCCCTAATACTTCCAGGGAACAAGATCTTCGCCCATTTTAAAAGCCCTCTATAGACTATTCAATGAAACTTCTCCTCCCTTTCAGCACTTGAATCTTTACTGGGGTTCTCTGCTATAAAAGTCTGACCAGATGTTAACCAATATAAAAGGTATATAGGACCTAAGAAATGGTAAGAAAGGTGACTGGTCCAGACTAAAATCAGAAAACTGCCTCTTCTCTCTATGGTATAGTCTCAAAGTGGCTATAGCACAGCATACACCATAAAAACATTTTCTACATATAAACATAATTGCTCCACATGTTTAAAAGAAATATGCTCTTCTGGGATACATGGAAGTGCGAGGGATCAGTTCTTTTTAATTTTCCCAAAACCAAGAAAAACACAAAAGCAAAGAGGTACAGTCGCACTTCTTTGCAGGGACAAATTACACAATTTGGGCGGTGTGCTGAGACTGAATTCCCTGTGAGTACCTCTTCATTGGGCTCTTTTCCTTTTATGGTGGGCTTCGGCTTCACTTCAGCAGTAAGAGGCTGGTGCACAGAAGGAAGGTAAGAAGGAACGGTGCTGCTTATATCCTCATCCGCTTCTCCTGGCAGCAGCAGCAAATCTGTTGGATGCAAAATATTTCAAATGATCCTTTTGCCAAGTTTACAATGTACCTAAGTCACCTAAAAGCCTACCACAATCAAAAGTAAGAGGCAAATATGTTCCTTGAAAGTAGGAGCCTGTCCTCATTTGGGAAACTGACTCTAAGGATTCTCCTTTCTATAAAATACAGCCACTAATGCTCTCATTTTATCTTACTGTTGCAGTTAAGGTCCTTTTAGAAAGTCTAGGGGAAATCATGGTTTGGAAGTAAATTGATTGTGTCTTAGGCTCCTAACACAACTTCTACTTCTAAAGGAAAACAACACAGGAAGATACTACTTTTGCTTCATTTCCCCAATTTTCCTGCAGGGAGGAAGAGAAAGAAAATGGAGTGCTGATTTCATCTTGCAATGATAAGGCAATACTTCAAAAACACACATATAACAAAACAACCATGCCAGAAGAAAAGTACTTTAACTCTTCGCAGTAAAATGAAATACTCTCTCATATTCAGAATGCATGGTCTCATTTTTCAACACTTGGGAACAACATGTTGGCTGCTTATTTGTCACAATCACAATTCAATAAGCCCCTTTGGTTTTCTGATCCCTTCATTAGAAGTGGAGGTGCTCCCTTATTGTCACATGGTGTGACAGTTCATGAGTGCATCCATAGACTAGTCGGTGGGTGATCTTTCACACCATTTTTAAGGAGGTCGAGCAACAACAGGCCTCCCCTTAGCCAGTTCCACAGGACCAGAAGAGCTAGCTAGAGCTGGCCAGTAGCTTACAGCTGGCTAGGTTGCTGCTGCCTGCTACTCAAGGATGATCCTAATTAAGCCACTAATTAAGTTCTCAGTGGAAGTGATTAATTAGCAGCAGGCATTCCTTTGCAGTTGCCAATGGCAGCGTCCATAGGAAGATAATTGAGCAGGTATTGATATTCAAAGACTGAAACTCATGTGAAATGCATCTCTCACCAGAATTAAAAAACATAATTACAGAATTGTTAATACTGGCAATATAGACAACCTAGAAATGGAAAGTTATGTTGGGGAGATAGTGAAGAAGGCAGTTCTATTAGGATCATTTATGGAAATCTTAGAATGAGATCTCACTAATTAGCAGAAATAAAAACAGTAATAATAGCCAACATTCACATACCCAACATTTTATATATCTGTCCTAGCACAATGAAATCTCCCAACAGCTCTATCATTTCCAGTGTCTCAGGCACTGAGCTCTAACTCTCTCCATCCCACAGCTAGGAAGGGCACAGCCAGGCAGTCTGTACCTCAACACATCATGAACTTCTTTTAAATAAACACTTTCATTACACGTTTTACATTAATGTGATCAGATTATGCATTCAAACTCCAGAAGAAATGCCACTATTGCAGCAAATTAGTAGTTAGGCAGCATCAAGTGCAATTTCCTAGGGTTTTTTATCCAGGGAAGTACAGTGTTTGAACCCAAGAAGGTGAGTAGAGAGACTGGCTTTCTAATGCGCCTATTTATGCATTCAAAGTCCAACTCCAGCACTGAGCTCCTTTGCGTAACAGCCTAAGGCTAATTCAAGCCTGGCTAGAGCCTGCTAAAATCAGGCAAGAAAGAAGAGGTAGGGCTTCTCAATGTGAAAAGCATTATCTTCCAGACCCACTGGCTTCCAGTGTAAACACTGATTCGGATGTGAAATTAAAATCAATTCTGCTTTTGCGGCTATTTAAGATCACCATTCTGACTGTGTTCAGCAAGAAAAAAAAGTCTGCATTTCCATTGCTGAAACTGTTCCCTTCCTAACTTGTTTACAAAAACCAGTAAGATTTTCAACAAAAGATAGTGGCGGTTTCCCCCTAACAATTTCACAGTCATAGGAACAATTCTTTGACTCCATATCTTCCATCTTATATTATATCTTATATATTATATATTATATATTATATATTATATATTATATCTTATATCTTATATCTTCATTAATTCTTCAGTATAAAAGCAGAATGCACTGATACATACTTACTGGTGCCTAACACAACACCTTATATACAGTGAATTCTCAAGCAATACATGGAAACAAGAAATGAATTTTCTGCATCTCAGTCCTTAACCTTGCACAGCAAGTTATCAAGAGTCTACCTGCCAATTGGATATTATGGATGATATAAAATACAATGCTTACCCTTAAAAACCAGTGGTTGTTATACAGGTAAGTCTTTCACTGATAAAATCCATCAGAGAAAGATCAATAAGAAAATTAAACAGCCCTAACTATAAAGAAGACAAAGGCATAAAAGGTAAAACAAAATATGAATGAAAAAAGGATGGGAGGGCATATGTCATAAAGAAAATTACTGCCACCTTTCAGCTATCTTACAATCATGGGTGCATTATTTATGCACATACCTATACACTCTCAGGAGAAGAAATTATTGTATTCACTAATGGTGGGAAAAGGAATTCCTGAAACGCCCTGCAAAACTTTCTAAAATGAAAATCTTGTAAGAGACTTAATCTGATCTTAATTATTTTGTCTAAAACAACTGAAAGCCTTGTTTTCAACTTAACCAAATGTCACTATATTGGGCAGCATGCAATGTAGTTGAGGCAACTTCCAAAACTGAATTCTGAGGTTGCATCAGAACACTGGCTGAAACACTTTAATCTCTTCTTTCTCTATTACATGTTAAGGATTTCTGATATTAAACACTATTTATGCCCTTTGCCTTTCTGTGCGTAGTCAATGGTTAGCAAGTCAAAAGCTATACTGATTTAATCTAATAAAGAGTGAGTAATGTATTTGACTATGATAGTTTGAACTCTAAAATGATACTTAGCTTGTTGGATATATTTGTATAATTAACCAACCTGTTTGCTTCTTACCAAATAAAGCAGTCATGATTTTCTGAAAATTTGAACTTCTACAGCCAAAAAGACCACAGGATAACAAATGCTTTAGCCAGTAAGGCCTCTTATATACATAATTGCAAGCTATGATGGCCTTAATCAGTAGTTTTTTTTTTTAATTACTGAGATCCCAAAACTCTTATTTACATGGATTATTGCTATCAACAATTACAAGATTGGCAAAGATTCCAATATTACTTATTGAATCATATTTTTAAAAAATCTGTTACATATCAATATAAGTATTTTTATGAAAATAGTATTTTCTAAAGAACAAAGAAAACAGTAAGAAAAGAAGCACTGTTTTGCATTCCTGTATCATTCTGGGTTTTGTTGTTGCTGTTGTTTTCATTTTGCTTTTGTTGTATTCTGGAGTGTTTGTTTGCTTCTTGATTTTCCTGTTTGTTTGTTTTTTTTTTTTTTTCTCTCTTTAAAATGAATAAAATCATAACTTAGCATCTATTAAAAAATACATTTTTTCAAATTGGTTTTACTGTCTGCCTTTACAGAAGAAAGCTGGATCCTATATTTATTTCTGCATTCAATATTTGAAATATGCTGTCTCAGCCAAAGTAAATGAAGAAAATCTAGCCTCACACAGATAAATAGTTGGAAAGAGGAAAATGAAGATCTTTTTATGTGATTGTGGATATTCTTCTTAATAATATGCCAGAGCTTTAAAAATGATAAGAGTTTTTAGTGGTTGGTTCTAATGAATAATCTGAAAACATATCACTGCATTTTTCAGCTACATTAAAATCTATTGGTCTATCTTGCAATTTGAGTGAATATTCCCTCTATGCATAATTTTGTAACATCATGAATTGTTTATTTGGAAAATATTGATTCACTGTGTTATGCAAATCTTCCAAATGTTGACATATTTCATTATGCAGACTAAAAAAAAATCCCATCAGTTAATATCACCAAATTTACCAGAAAAGCCTTTAAATATTAAGAAGCCATCAAGCTCACAGTGCTGAATACAAGTTTTCTAAAAATCAAATTTTCACTTGATCTATTGCCAATTTTATCGTGGGCAATGAATACTATCAGTCATTTGCCTTGAACAGAGAGGCTAGCATCATTCATTTTGAGAACCAGTTTTTCAGTCATTCTTTCAAGTGAAAACAGTCATCTATGAAAGAGAAAAACTAGTTTAGCACATCACTCAGGCACTCAAGAGTTCTTCCACAAGACACCCACTGTATTTCCATACACAGTCAAAATGCTTTGCGAGTACTTGCTACTTTTTTACACAAATCATTAAAAAGAAGTACGTTAATGGACAAGAATTAGTAAAAGTAATCATTTTGCTACTTCCTTAAAGACATTTTCAATGTAAAATGGCATCTGTTGCGACCATAAATTTGACAGTGAAGATAATGACTGCTCGTTAGTTTGGTACCATTATGATTCACACTAAGGTACCAGTATCTTCCCCTTCACTGCTTCTGCAACATCACTGTAAACATCAGTACACATGACATGCAGACCTCAGAGTTTCCCAAGAGTTCCCAGACCACGTCCTCCTGGGGCCACTAGTCTAGTTACTATCAGTCCAAGCCTTCCACCAAGAACGATCAGAAAAGCTGAATAAATTACAAAACGATATCCAGCTATTGAAAAGCCTTGGAGAGCTGCTAAGGGAGCTAGAAAGAGCCCATGAGAAAAAAAAAAAAAAAAAAGGCTCTTTGCAAGCTAAATGGAAGTGTAGAAAAAGGAAGAGTATTGCCCAGCCATGGGGAAGGTAAGGAAAATCAATGAGGAATTACCTCACTGATAATACACTTGATATCAAATCCCTCACTCTTGGAGAGGAATAGACACAAGGATTGTGCAAAGACAGAATTATGCTCCCAATTCTATTTTATTCTCAAGAATGGGATTAAAGTTTCTCCATGCAACCAAAAGGACTGGGTAACAGATTTTTTGCTATGGTCAATATGGCTTTCTAGTTGGACCTTCATAGCTAGCTAAATTGAAATATAAAAGAAGTAGGAGTATACCCAAGATCAGAACAGCTGGGTCAGATAGCATTTCTATGTTTAGCCTTTTCAGAAATCTCCACACTGATTTCCACAGTGGCTGTACTAGTTTAGCCACCAACATTGTA